TCCTCATGCCTCAGCTTTCCATGCTGCTGGGATTACAGGCATGTGCCACCATACCTGGCCTGTTTTATTTTTAGAATACAAAAATGACACAGAATTGGAGAAATTGGGGTTCCCTGAAGGATTTTTAAAAATTCGGTGAACTATATTATCTAGTTACTTCTTAACATGAAAGCTCTCACTTGCCATGCTCCATATCTTGGGTAGGAAAGTTGCATTTTGCCATGAAGGATTTAAATATATATGTATATATGGTATATGTATTTGATAAATACATGGTTATTTATCAATATCTTTATGGTTTCAGAGTTTTGGGATAAAGAGATTTTTTGTGTGCTATGAAATAATAAACTTCCCTATGTTTTCTTCTAGTACATTTATTAATATATTGTTCAGATTAGATTTTTTGATCCATCTGGAATTTATTTTGATATAAGGTGTGAAATATGGTTCCAATTTTATTTTCCTTCCAGATGGCTACCTAGTCATTCCAACACCATTCACTGAATTCATCATTTCCCCACTAATTTGAAAGGCCACCTACATCATTTTCAGAATTTTTGTATGATATGAAAGACTCATGTATTTTTGGCCCTGATTTGACTGAAAAGGACTTCCCATGCACTTTTTAACTCCTCCAGGGCTTGTCATTGTTTTAAAATATTTTAAAAGTTGTATATAGCCATCAATATGATACCCCAACAAGATTCTATCCCCACTTCATGAATTTGTCATTACCAAGCTCATTTCAGTTTCTTTCTTTAAGTGTACTACACACAACCTTCAAATATTATGAACATTTCTCTCTCCCAGCTGTCACTACACCAAACTACATATGTTAGATTTCCCTAAATCATCTTGCTGTGCTCTTTACAGCTCTTCCGTAGTCTGTTGATGTCTTCATCTCACAAGTTGCTCAAAACTTACTATAATTATTTTAGGTGAGGACTCCAGAGTGAAAGCCTATCATAACCAGTTCCTTCCAAAATGGGCATTAATTTCCATATAACAGGGACAGGTTGTATTTCTGGAAAATAACAGATTTTGAAAAGCAACGGCAGTTATTTAAACAATCCACCTGGGAGGGAGTTCAAAATACCAGCTGCAATTGTGGGAATTGCTTGCTATTTATTTCATCAAAATGATTCAGAAAAAAAAAGGCCGCCCTCTACCAGGTCTTGAACCCAAAGAACTGTTTGCACAGATACTCGTCCAAGATTCTATGCAACCTTTACCTCAGCAGATGCTTTTTCAAATGTTTCTTGACGCTCCTCCAGTTAGTCCCCATAAGGGGAGAAGAAAGAGGCCGCAGGAGCTGGCTGTGCTGGCACGAAGGCAGGCCTAAATTTTCTATTTAAAGGCAGAATCAAAATATGTTTGTCTTCTCTGATCTATTTAAAACTTCAAGCCAGGACAAAGAAAAAGCACGCTCCATCTTGAATGGGCCTTTGGCGTGTCAATCGCAGAGAAGAGTGGCACGTGCTGAGAGGGAATTGAGGAACACGGAGGTACGAAGCCAGGTATGGGACGGGACACTTGGAGTGAAGAAAGCCGTGGCCCGTGGGGAACGGACCACCACATCCGACCTCCCAGCCCAAGGTCCCCATTATGGTAGACATCGATGGGTCACCTCTCGCTCACACCAGCCACCTGGCTCTGCCACCTGGCTCAGCAACCCCGGCCCCGATCCCAAGGGCCGCCATCCCCGAGCCTGCTTCAGCTCAAGGGGCGCCCAGCGCTCTCCTCCCACCAAGACCCCTCCTCAGCACTCTTCCTTCACGTCGCCCCAGCCTCATCCCAGCGCGACAACCCCAGCAGGCTACTCTAGCGCTAGCCCCGGCTCCCCGCCCCTTGCCCTGGCTCCGCCCCCGCTCTCCGCCCGCCCCTTTCCCCGCCCAGTGGTCCTTTCCACGCCCCCTACTCAGCCCTCTGACCCGCCCACTGTGGGCCACGCCCTCTGCGCCCCGCCCCGCGCTCCTCGCCCAGCCCACGCCGAGCGCGCGCCGCCCCCTCTCCCCAGTTGGCGCTAAACCTTTCGGTCAGCTACGCGCGGGTCGTCAGCCTGGCGTTCTGGGTCGGAGTTAAAATTCTGAGCTGAAGGCGGGAAACCTAAGCTGGGGGGCTCACCGTCAAAACCTCGTGGAGACTGTGGGTTTGGGGGGCGTCGAGTGACAGAAGGGGAAAGCGTGTGGAGAATCTGAGGGGAAACGCAAGGTGTGCGGAAAGCGCGCCTCTTTGAGGGCCTTCCCTGGCGGTCGTTGCCGGGTCCTGGGCCGACGACGGGGTCCCGCCCCACGCCCGGGAGGGAACCTGGGTCTTGAGGGGCTTCCAGTTGCGTTTCGAGTCGAGTCGGGCCGAGTTGCACGGGCCTCCTGGCGGGCCCGGGGCGGGAGGCGGCCAGGAAGCCAGCGGGGACCTCGGTCCTGGGCCCTTTGTCCGTGAGATGGGAGGAACGGGGGTGTGTGGGTGTCCCTCGGTGGAGACGGTCCGTGGCGTCCTGGGAGTCGCGACAGCCAGCCCAAGGTCCCGCTCGCATTTTCCCTCGTTCGCCCCGTGGCCGCGGGTCCGCTTTGAGCTGCCTCCAGCCCCCGACTTTGCCGTTCATCGAGGAAATGGAAGAGACCTGGAAAAATGATACTCGGGGCAGGTTTTATTGTAGAGAACCTGATAATTAAAAAAAAAAAAAATCTGCAGTGTTAAACTGGAGGCTATTTACTGCCTACCAGTCCCCCCACCTAGAACTTGCCATCCTCCTAACTCACAGGTGTGCCCACTACACCTGCAGCCCTAACCTTATATGGGGTATCCACTTTTACAGAATCATGAGACTAGTCAATACTGCAAAGCAAAATATAGCAAATGATTTATGAAACAGTCACCAGAGTTCCTATTCACTACCATTAAGCAGGAAGGCATTCATTATATATGAGAAAAACAAAACCTGTTTATCGAGCGTATTCTTAAGTTTGAGGTAGTGAGGAATACAAAGAAGAAAGACACAATATTGAGGTTCTTAAGGTGTTGTTAAACATAAGCCTAAAAAGTTAAAAGTAATAATTTTGGCGGGCGTGGTGGCACTTGCCTGTAATTGCAGCGACCTAGGAGGCTGAGGCAGGAGGATGGTGAGTTCAAAGTCAGCCTCAGAAACTTAGCAAGGCCCCAAGCAACTTAAAGGGTTACAGATGTGGCTCAGAGTTTCCCAGAATCAGTCTTGGTTTAATCCTTGGTACCAAATAATAATAAAGTAATAAGCAATTCTAAATCACATTCCAAGTAAACAATAAAGATATCCTCAGTCATTAACTGCAATAGAAAATCGGAAGACAATAAATAGTGAACAGTGCTAAGGAAAGAAGAAACTAAGCTTTCACAATGCTCCCCCCACCATACAAAATGATGCCATAAGCCCAGTAGAAAAGATAGATCAGCCTAGTTTTTCCAAAGCATTTCTTTTATTGTCCTGGTCTTTGGTGACTTTGAAATGAAATCAAAGAGTCTTCTAAGCAGAGGATTTTTTTTTAACTTTATGAACTATAATTACTTCTTTAAAAATATTTCTTATTTTCCCAGAATTGACTCAATATGAAAGAGGATCAAGTTGTACAGGAAGAACCAGGATTCCAAGATGAAGAGGTATAACAAATATGTTGAAAGTTACACAGATATTCAGTCTTTCACATACACACACACACACACACACACACACACACACACACAATGAAGTTCCTTGTCTCTTAGCTACTATATTTGGAAACAGTAGAAATAAGACATAGTTATGCATTACAAATATGAACAGTTTGATTGGCAAGGGATGTTAACATTAACTACTTAGCATCTGGCTTGAAAGGGTTTTTGTTTGTTTTGTTTTTGCAGTTCTGGGCTAGACCCCAGGCCCTCATGCATGCTAAGCAAGGGCTCTACCACTGAGATACACATCCAGCCTGCTGTACAAAAGTATTTCAGTAACTTAACTGGTATGGCCATGCTGGTGCCTAAGCACATTGGTACTGAATAGCTGTCTGGTCCTAGAAGGAGAACAAAATTTGGAGGGGAAGAATGTTGCAAAAACATTTAAAATGGGTCAAATGTCCCACTGCTTTTGGTAAAGGTTTTAAAATTTTAGGGAAGCCGTGGCAAAGGTTATTGGCTTTGCAGACCTTTCAAAGTTGGTGCCTCTTCTAAATATGTAATGATGTGTTTGAAAAAACGTTATCAATACCACCACAATCTGCCTAAAAAAGTGGAATTTGAGACATTTGGGGATAGGTCTAATATTCAATTAGCTCTTTAAAAAATATGTAACATTTGGATACAAAGAATCAAAACTCTATTTTTTTCTTTTCTGTTCCATTTCCTTTAGGAATCTTTGTTTCAAGACATTGACCTATTACAGAAACATGGAATTGTAAGTAGTTTTTCAATGCCATGTTGAATTGTCCAATTCAGAGTTTCCCAGAATCAGCCTTATAAACATTTGGATGATTCTTTGTGTATTTGGGGGCAAGGGGCTGTCCTGTGCTTTGTAGGGTGTTGAGCAACAAGCTTGGTATTCCAGAACAACCTGGTCCCAGTGTGACACCCAAGGTGCCATGAGATCCTAGCAAAGAGGTGGGCAGATCCAGGATTGCTAAGTGCAATATACTGGGGGAATTACTGACAAAAACACAGCCCAGGCATTGGGAAGACCAAGTAGATATCTGTAATTTAGGTTAGAAGGAGGGTATTTACTTGGTTAGAATGAAAGTGACTTCATGCAAACTGTAATGTTTCTGGCTTAGCTTTAATATCAAAAAGTCAGACACATTCCAGGGTCCAGTTGTAAAGCTCTACATATCACCCTAATGGTTTGTTCTATTTATGGTAAGCTGGGAAATTACGCAGAAAAAAAAAACAACTGATATTATTCTGGAGAGTTTATGTTGCATATGGCTGTGGTCATGTAATGTCCAGATGACTCCATAAAAATGGCCTCTACTTACTCATTTCATGCCAATAGCAGTCCTGCAGCTGTGACACCAGACACTATCATATGTACCCAGGAATCAGAATTGTCCCTCATTCAGAACCACTAATCCAATTGGAGGTATTAAGAACTTGCTCTAAAATCATTATAAATCTTCTTATCTATCTAGATTTATTCTATCCATTAACACAAAATTTAATTCTGTTTGTCAGGTGGCTGGCTTAAAACTAGATGGATTTCAGCAGTAATTATTGATAGTAAAACTCTGCTGATGTTATCTGTTGAGAGCCTTCTATCTAAAGTCTTTTTTTTAATATTTATTTTTTTAGTTGTAGTTGGACACAATACCTTTATTTTATTTATTTACATGTGGTGCTGAGGATCAAACTCAGGGCCTCGCATGTGCTAGGCAAGCGTTCTACTGCTGAGCCACAACCCCAGCCCTCTAAATCTTTATATTTTAGAAAATAGAAGCAAGAAAAAAAAATCCTGTCTTTTGGTGATCTTTTTATTTGCATTCTCCTGGGGCAGAAGAAAAAAAAATCTTTAAAAAATTTAGAACATTTTAATAATGAAGTTCTGTAGAAGGAAGGAACTGAACTGAGGGGGTGGATGTGTGATAAATTTGTTAGTTTTTCCACCAACAGACTTTTCTTTTGAGTTCCCTGTTACATTGCCATGGTCTCACTAACATTCTTGGGAAATCAGGGCACAGCCAGAACATTTGGCAGCCTGGTGGGTATGTTCTACTCAGATATTTCCAGAACATTTGGAAATATTTTTTACCATCCTCCTTCTTACTTTTGTCTTGTCTTCTGAAATATACCTAAGGCTCTTGCAAAGCACTCAGTATCAAAGCAGTATTCCACCTGGTTGCTTGTATAAAAATGGCATCATGATGGAAGGAGATGGACAGAAAAGCACATGACATACATAGTATGGGAACCTTTTAGGCTGGCATTTTATAAATCTGTTGTACCCATTCTTCCATTTACAGAACGTGGCTGACATTAAGAAACTGAAGTCAGTAGGAATCTGTACCATTAAAGGGATACAGATGACAACAAGAAGAGCCCTATGCAATGTCAAAGGGCTTTCAGAAGCCAAAGTGGACAAGATTAAAGAGGCTGCCAACAAACTCATCGTAAGCAAAATCCACTCTTGCTGTTTTAGTTTAGAAGGACTTCATGAGCCTTTCTCATTATGTGAGAATTCTGAATTTCTGTAGATCATAATATGTGATTATCCCTAAGTTAATGTTTTAATCATTTTGGTTCCAAAGCAATATCAATCAATTTCTGAAAGATTGTGGTAGGGAATTAAGAGACCTGGAACACTAATTAAGGTAATTATTTTTACCAAAACTTTTCTTTTTGTCTCCCTTTATGCTACTTCTGACTTTCTGTTTCTCTGCCTTTCTTTCTCTCATTTATTTTTTTTACAACCTCCTTCTTACTTTTATCTTGTCTTCTGAAACATACCTAAGGCTGTTGCAAAGCACTCAGTATCAAAGCAGTGATCCTCTTCTGGTATAATAGGCCAGTTGATGAGCACATTGGTGAGCAAAAGGCTAGCAGTGATTAGTTCTACATGTGTGTGACTGATAGAAATGACCATGATGATGCCACTGATGATGCTCAAGTACCCATACTCTCCAACTGGGCCCATGGACTGTGAATGGCCTATGAGCTGTCAGGCAAAAGCATATATGCCTTTGACCCAAGCTTTTGTGTAGAGCTCTTAGGGACCAATAAGGGTACCAGCTCTGGAACTAGGAATGTACCAAAAGTAGTCACCAAGTGTCCCTTTCTGCAGAAGATCAAGCCTCTCCATTTGTATGTGTGGGTCTCAATCCAGTCAAGTCCAGAAGTTCTCTTTACCAACAGTCGTTTGGTTTCCTTCTTTGGAGACAGGCAGGACTGAAGAGAGATACAAGTAGCATTGTGGTCTTTAACTTGGAGAAGACCCAGCTGAACTCTGAATCCTCCCAGTTGCTGTAGCTTCAGGTCCACTCTGGCAGTATATCCACAGTTCAATTCCATAATTGCCAGCATGTCTAAGGAAGCCCTAAAGCGGTATCCAGGAAACAGTTTGAGAAACTATTACTTAATAGCTCTTAGATATTAGTCTTCTTTGGAACTTAAATTTCATCATCAAAGAAAAGAACTCCTCTTTTTCTGCACCCAAAGTCTTATCCTTTCATAGTGAAAGCTAGGTCTGGGCTTGTTCCTCCATCTCCTAAGTTCTTCAAAGTTTGAGAACCATTATCACCATATGGAATAACAAAGGGAAACATATTCAACAACACAGGGATCCACTTTCACCACTGCACTGTGCAGTTCCACCACTGTAAAGTTGTAGCTCATTAATTAGCAAATATGTACTAAATCTACCATGTGAAAAATGTTGTCATATATTCATGGAAACAGGTATTTCTGTTCTCCTTGAAACTTCTAGAGCTGGAAAAAAAATGATAATGTAGAATAAAATCATCTGAACCATTCAGAAAAATACCATTCTGCTTTGTGCCATGATTATATTTTATTTAATGTTCATAGCTATCATATGAGACACTATTATTATCGCCACTTGACCCAAAAGTGAAAACTGATTTACAGCAATATTAAGTAATTTATCCCATATCATATAACTAGTAAGGACCAGAGATACAATTTGAACCTAGGAAGGATGGTTCAAAGTTAGTGTTTTTAACCATGATCTGGTCTACCTTCAAAGATGTCAGAATTGTAGCTCATACCAAATGATGACCTTGATAATTGAGCATATAGTTTTGAGTAGCATTTGAAAAATTAAAAAAATTGTTGTAGTTGTATAGAATGCCTTTATTTTATTTGTTTATTTATTTATTATGTGGTATTAAGGATTGAACCCAGTGCCTCACACATGCTAGGCAAGCACTCTGCCACTGAGCAACAGCACCCCCAGCATTTGAAATTGAAACCATTATCTTATACCCTTTTTGAATCTGTCTTTTTATCTTTCTATAGGAACCAGGATTCTTGACTGCATTTGAATATAGTGAGAAGAGGAAGATGGTTTTCCATATCACCACTGGGAGCCAAGAATTTGAGTGTGTATCTCAACATTTTTTATAACCTCTAAGTACAATCTTTGGAATACCATGTTTCTTTTCTTTCATCTGGTTGTTATTTCTACTATAATCAGTAGAAATAGCTTCTTTTTTTGGAGTAGCTTGTTGGTTTTTTTCCCCAAAAAATACAAACCAAAGAAATTGCAGACTGCTTATAGGAATAGGATTAAATTTATTCCAAGAAATTCAGACCCAAAATATAAGTGATTTCTGAATCAGTCTATATTAATCTATAAACTATTTTTAAAAATCAGTTTAACTTTTCATTTCCTTTCCTTCTCCACTGATGAAGAAAGTTTCATTTCACCTTTTGAGCTTACTTAAAAATCAGTTGTTAGCCAGGCACAGTGGTGCATGCCCATAATCCTAGCAGCTCAGGAGGCTGTGACAAGAGAGTCACAAGTTCAAAACCAGCCTTGTCAATTTAGCAAGGCTCTGAGAAATTTAGCGAGATCCTGTATCAAAATAAAAAATAAAAAGGAATGGGGATGGGCTGGAATTGTGGCTCAGTGGTAGAGCGCTCGCCTAGCATGGGCGGGGCCCAGGTTCAATCCTTAACACCACATTAAAAAAAATAAAGGCATTGTGTTGTGTCCATCTACATCTAAAAAATAAATATTTTTTTTTAAAAAAAGGAATGGGGATGTTCTCAGTTGTTGAGTGCCCCTGGGTTTCTTTCCTTATAAACCCACCTTCAAAAAAAAAAAAAATCAGTTGTTAGGAGCCAGATGTGGTGGTACATGCATGTAATTCCACACTCGGGAGACTGAAACAGGAGGATAACAAGCTCAAGGCCAGCCTCAGCAACTTAGTGAGACCATTAGCAAATCAATGAGACCCTGTCTCAAAATATAATAATAATAACAACAACAAACAACAGTGACTGTGGATGTAGGTCAGTGTCAAAGCAACCCTGGCTTTAATCCCCAGTAACCAAAAAAGAAAAAAAAATCACTTATTCGATTGAATATTTTAGAATAATACAGGATTGGTTTTGCATTTCAGCAGGGACAATTTTAATCTTATTCCTATAATTTTATTCCTTTTTGTTTACTATTTTATGATTTCTAAGACATATTATCTTCCCAAACCCATGCAAATTGATTAGAATGGGCTCTTTGCCTACCTTACTAGGCAGAATTAGTCTTTAAGTTAGAGTAGTGTTCAGGAGCAATTACAACAAAAGCAGTATTAAAGTATTCCTGAAAACTCTGGCTTTATAAGAAAGGGCAAGAAAAAAGGATTTCATAGTCAAATATACCACCATTTTGAATGTTTAGTGAGCAACTCAGGCTTCACAGATTCAAAACCAAACTTTTGCTCTTTGCCCTATATCTGCTCCTCCTGCAGGTCCCTCATCTGAGATCTTTTTAGTGATCTTCAGACCTAAAATCTTGGTGTCATTTTTGGTATCTTCTCCCCCACCTCCCACACTACCTATAATCTATTAACAAATCCTGCCTTCTAACTAACCTGTTTCTTTCAGACCTTTCCCCTACTGTTTATGCTTGATACAAGAACCAGAATAATCTTTTTACTTAAGTATGTATTTTTTGGTACCAGGGATTGAAACTAGGGGTGCTTAACCACTAGGCAACATCCCCAGCACTTTTTTTTCTTTTTTTTGAGATAGGATCTCACTAAATTGCTTAGGGCCATGCTAAATTGTCAAGAATGGCTTTGAAGTGCAATCCTCCTGCCTCAGTTTCCCAGACCACTTGGATTACAGGCATGCACCACCTGCTCCATCCTTTTAAAATGTAGATCAGAATGTGACACTCTACTCAAAACACTCCAATGACTTCCCATTTTAGCTAGAGAAAAAGCCAAAGTCTTCCCCAATCCCTAATCAAATCTCATCTTTTATTCTTCTGGTTTACTGTGTACCTGAAACACTGGCCTGTTTGCATTGCCTAGAATGTATCAGATACATACCTGCATCATGGCCTTTGCATTCAGTGTTCCCTCTGCCTGGAATACTCTGTCCTTGTATATCTCCTTTACTAAAATGTCACATCTCAAGAAGGCCTTCTCTGATCACTTTATTTGAAAATGTAAGCTCCCCTCCTTTAAATTCTGTAATATTTATCCCATTTCTCATCTTATTTTTAATCATACCATTTAATAATGTCTGACATGCTACTTATGTTTCTTAATTAATTAAATTTTTGAGGTGCCTCATATATACTAAGCCAAGTGCTCTATCACTGAGCTATCTCCCCAGCCCTTTACTTTTATTTTCTGACCTCCCTCTAGAATGTAAGATCCATGAGGCAAAGGATTTCAGTATTTTTTGTTCTTTGCTTTATTCACCAAAGGTAAAGTGGTTCTCAATAAATATTTGTTGAATGACTAAATAAACACATAATGAATAAAATAAGTTTACGAAGTCCAATCTACTCTATATTCTTCTTGAAGATTCACCATGCCTTCTGGCTTAATAAAGGATCTGTGAAATCCTTCAGTAAGACAAAACACCTTTTTAACCCAGCACTGCCCCACAGAACCTCCTCTCCAACTCCCATGGAAGAGTCTTTGGGAAATCCTGCCCCAAGGCAAATTGTTGAAAATCAAGTTGATCAATAAAACATTTGATTCCAGTGACAATCTGACATCCCCCAGTTACTCTGCCTGGTGGCTTATGAACCTTTGGGCTATATAAATTAATATTGAGTTTTCATTGATGTTTGCTTTTGAGCACAGAAAAGATCACTCGGGAGCTAAGTTTTTTAAAATTAATATTTGATTCATTAAAATTTTTCTTAAACTTTTAAGTTCTTTTATAAATCTAGTAAATTTAAAGAGGGTTTTTTATGATATGGTTAACTAAATTTCCTCAAGCATTTGAAGTTGTACATTTAGTATATTGTATTTCATCAGTCTAAAAATAAATGGAGAGACAGGCGCTCCAAAATAAATGAATTTATTTGGGAATAGTAGAGAATTGCAATTTGGAGTACACAAGCTATGGCAGGCCACAGGTGTATCCAGGAGGGTGGGTGAAAGAAAAAGAAACCAAAATTTACAAAGATCAAAAGTCACAGGAGACTGTTACTGTAGTTGGTGTTAGCTTATTGGCTGAGACAGCCATTGCTAGGCATGTATCCTTGTACAAGCACTCCATCTAGAACATTGCAGTCTTGAAGTTCTCCCAATAAGTTCTATTACTGGTCTACTGAGGAATGTTTTTTAATAGGTCTTGTTTGAATCATGTATGTGTGAGAACTTCTATTCTGTGGACTTGTCAGGTTCTGTTTTGTTAGTTTGACATAAGTGACTTCATTTTGGTACTGGTAGCTCTCATAATTTCCTTTAAGAACTTTGTCTAATTATTAACAAGCAAGATCTTCCCAATTACCTAAATATCTTTTGAAAACCAATGAACTTATAAATATAGTGGGACTTTGGCACTCATAAATGTTCAGATACTGTTTATGAACTTAGTTATCAACTTAAAAAATCATAGTTCTATATCATTTAATTATCCAGAGACTATTCTGCTATTATAAAAAGACCAAATTTCCTTACATTTTAAAAGTTCTCAAAGAACAAATATAAAATCATCATGAAAATTACTTATCATCATGAAAATAGTAAGTTGTGGGTTTTAAGTTTTATCTCTATTTTAAAATCTTCTTAGATATAAAACATTATTTCTACATCTAATTCTGTATTTTCCTGAGTTTCACAAATGAAATAATTATATTACCCCAAATAATCTGGGGTACACTCCTAGACAAATTTTGGGGTTACCTTTGCAGCCTGATTGTATTACATATCAACCAGAAATTGTGTCTGGTATTTTTCAGAGCTATAGCCTTTCAGGGTGATTCTTTTACAAGATGAGGAGAGGCAAGTAAAGCTCTCTTTTAGTAGTTGCCTGACCTGTTACATCTCCAAGGGCGAAGCCTCCAAATGGGGTGATTGCTCAGCTTACATGTCCTTTAGATTCAAGCTACACAGGTCAGTATCTAGATTTTTGTGTTCTTCATTGAAGTCTGTATCCCTCACTAAGTTTGTTTGTAACTTCCAACATTGCTTCAATTTACATTTAAATTGCTCTCTTAAACTAGTAAATTCTCTATTATTCCCAAATTCCCAAACTACATCCATAACTCCTAAGGCTTTGTCTGATCAGTGATCATATCTCCAAAGACTTGCTAATAGAAACTACAAGGTTTTTTAAGTGTTCCTACCAGGTATTAACACAGTTAACACAATGTTAGTTGTATTTGATGAATGAATGAAATCATAACTTAAATTTAGTTCTTTTCATATCAAGAACATTAAATGCCTGAAACATTGGGTTACCAAATAAATATATGCTATCAAAACCTGGCAGTTATTCTTCTGACTGCTAATATTACCTATAACATCTTTAAGCATTTTCTATTCTGACATGTTGTCCTTAAAATTTGGTTTATGTGAAATAAGCCAAATATGATGACAATCTCTGGATTCTCCTAATATCTGCTTTTTGTGTTTCTGTGTTTCTTTTTTTTCTTTCTTTCTTTTTTTTTTTTTTTTTTTTTGGTACCAGGGTTTGAACTCAGGGGTACTCAACAGCTGAGCCACATCCCTAGACCTATTTTTTTATATTTTATTTAGACACAGGGTCTCACTGAGTTGCTTAGCACCTCACCATTACTGAGGCTGGTTTTAAACTCACGGTCCTCCTGTCTCAGCCTCCTTAGCTGCTGGGATTGCAGACATGGGCCACCATGCCCGGAGATTGCTTTTTGTGTTTCTCATTGTATTAAAAAATTGAATAGTCAGTTGACTTTTAGAAACATCGTCCCTGCACAATTTGAAAAACCCAATTAATAACTAAGATCATTGGGCTGGGGATGTAGCTCAGTGGCAGAACACTTCCCTACAATGCACAAGACCCTAGCTGTGTTCAAACTCCAGCACTGTAAAACAATAACAAACAAAGACCCTACATTTTAATTGCAATTCAATTTAAAAGAATAGTGGAGCGCCTGTAATCACAGCTACTCAGGAGGCTGAGGCAAAAGGATTACAAATTATTATAAGCCAGCATGGGCAACTTGGCAAGACCTTGTCACAAAATAAAAAAATAAAATAAATTGGGATTGGGGCTCAGTGGTTAAGTGCTCCTGTGTTCAATCCCATATGCAAAAAAAAAAAAAAAATTGCTTTGTTGATCCACCTGCCCATACACAATATTGAACCTATGAACTAAACAGGTAGAGTGCCATTTATTCAGACTAGAATTCCTGTGCATGTTTATAAAAATAGATGGGTGAGATAGATGGATGGATGACAGGTAACTAATATACAAATTCTTTCTCCTTTCTTGAAATCCCTATTTCTATGCCTATTACTAATGCTTTCTTTCTATTTCCAGTAAGTTGCTAGGAGGTGGAATTGAAAGCATGGCAATCACAGAAGCTTTTGGAGGTAGGTGGAACCTTAATATTTTGTTATATGAAATATATATTTATGCATATCTTTGTATACACACATATAATTAAACAAACAACAGGGGCAGGGTTGTGGCTCACTCAGTAGTGGAACACTTGCCTAGGTTGTGTGAGGTACTGGGTTTGATTACTCAGTACCACATATAAATAAGTAAATAAAATAAAATAAAAACGTATTTTAAAAATAATGATAATTAAACAACAAATAGACAAATAATTTCCTATTTTTTAACATTATGAAATCTCAATTATGATACAAGATCATTTGGGGCTGCAAATCCATCCATTAACAGATGGTTCTTGGGGCTGGGGATGTGGCTCAAATGGTAGTGCGCTTGCCTAGCATGTGTGAGGCACAGGGTTCGATTCTCAGCACCACATAAAAATAAAATAAAGATATTGTGTCCACTTAAAACTAAAAAATAATTTTTTTTAAAAACAGATGGTTCTTATTGATATTTTTCATCCTTTTATCTCTGATTACTAGAGAAGGGAGTAAATTTTTTTCTCTTATTCCTTCAAAAGATAATTGAATAATGAGGTTGATCTTACATCTAGGCAATGCGTGTTCCATGAACAAAGAGATTTGTTTCTCTCTTCCCTGATTATATTCTCTCATTTTAAAGACAGTTCATGCATAGCACATTAAATACCATGTTTGATAATTCAGTATTTGCTCTCCTTGAGGAACTAAATCAGTTTTGTTGTTTTTGTTGACTTGGGGAACCAAATCTGGTTTTTGTTATTTCTATTGACCCAGGCCTAGTGACTTATCCTATTCTGCATTTACTGATATTTGTGAGTTTATTGTTTAATTTTAATTTATGAGAATTCAATGGACCTAAATTGGCAGATAGGAAATATAGAGGGAATTTGCTTCTACTGGTTACTAGGGGTTGCCACCAGTTTGAGATCTCTTCAGTTCCTTCAGTTCAGTGGGAGAACCCCAGGTTTTCCTTTCCTTTCCTTTGGCTCCTAAACTTTCATTATGTAAGTATTCCCATGGAAATGGAATAAATTAAATTTAAATTAATTTTTATTTAAAAGACAGTTCTGTGGGAAAAAAATCTTATTCTTGTAACTATTGGTATTCATATGCGCAGAATCCACGTATGAATTGATACAAGAGGTATTTTTTCCTGTTTTTTTTTTTTTTGGTTGTAGATGGACACAATACCTTTATTTTATTTTATTTTATTTATTTCTATGTGGTGCTAAGGATCAAACCCAGGGCCTCACATGCTAGGTGAGCAGTCTACCACTGAGCCACAACTCCAGCCCACAAGAGGTACTTTTGGAGTGAGATTTGACAGTTGGGAAATAGAACAATAATATCTTGAGTCTGTGTTTGATTTTTTAATGAAAATATCTAAAAACTAACTCTGCATGTTTTTACTACCATTTCTATATTTCACAGAATTTCGTACTGGAAAAACTCAGCTCTCTCATACCCTTTGTGGTAAGGACACATGACAACAACATAATCGCAGTAATAATCATAGCATTCAATTATTCAGCATTTATGTTCCTGACACTTTACATAATCTTATAATCTGAACAAATTTGTAAGAAAACTGAAGCTCAGAGAGATCAAGTCAACTGCCTACAGTTGCCCAGATACCAGAGCTGGTTTTTGAATATGAAATGCTTGAGATACTGCACCAGGAATACCTGAATGGAAATTTTAAAAAAGGCAAATTGGTATATGAATGTGTTGGAAAGGGGAGGCATCCACTGTCTCAATTTCCCCATTCCATCTTTTCTATGTCATTTTATAAAATGACACAAAATCTGTTGACATCTAGAATCCTTTGCTTTCTGTGAAGTAAGGTTGGCCCTAAGAGAGACTTAAAAACAATTTTCCTAAGACAAAATAAGCAAAATATCTCCTTTTTCACAAAGACACTACTTTGCATTTCTTTGACTTACTTAGCAAAAACTGGAATCAAAATGTCTGACTCCAGTGTTGGCTTTACCATTAATACCTGTGTGACCTTGGGCAAATTGCTTTGCCTCTCTAATAATGATAGTGCCAAATCTTTAAAAAGAAATAAATAAATTTCATTTATTTTAAAATGAAATAATGCACATACCTGGTACAAAATAACTCGCTAGTGTTAATTATTGCAGTGTGAAAAACAAATTCATCTTAAATTTTTGTCATACATTAATTGAAAGTAACTTAAATGAGTTATAGAGCATAAATTATATTTGTCATTATTTCTTATAAAAAAGAAAATTAGTAGCCAGATGCATTGGTGCATGCTTATAATCCCAGCTACTAGGGAGGTTAAGACAGGAGAATTGCAAGTTCAGGAGCAGTCTGAGCAATTTAGCCAGATCCTGTCCCAAAGTTAAATTTAAAAATGACTAGGGATATAGCTCAATGGTAGAGTTCTTGCCTAGCATTTGTGAGGAATCCCTTAGGTTCAAACTCTAATATTGCCCTCCCCCTCCAAAAAAAAAAAAAAAATTGAATTCTACTTCCATTTCTTTGGAACAACTAAATTGTATGAGTATTTTCCATAGTGAAAAATGTTGAAATTCTTTATTGAATTAATTTATCCCACAGAATACTTATTATTTCACCACTGATTAATAAAATGAAAAATACCGCATACTTTTTAGAAACTAAAGGATCATTTTTTGTTTGTTTGTTTTTTTGGGAGGGGGTACTAGGGTTTGAACTCAGGAGCACTAGGCCACTGAGCCACATCCCCAGCCCTATTTTGTTTTTATTTAGAAACAGGATCTCACTGAGTTGCTTAGTGCCTTGCTGTTGTTGAGGCTGGCTTTGAACTCTCCTGCCTCAACCTCCCCAGCCACTGGGATTCCAGGCTCCAGGCGTGCGCCACTGCACCTGGAAAGGATCATTTTTTTCTTTATCAAATTTACTAAAGAATTGCAACCAGCATAAATTCAATGTGTATTTATATATTCATTAGTACAAAGTTTATTTACTCCTATTAATATTGACTTTTTAAATTGCCCCCTAGTGACGGCTCAACTTCCAGGAGCAGGTGGCTACTCAGGAGGAAAAATTATCTTCATTGATACAGAAAATACTTTGTAACCATTTTATTTAAACAAGATGCTAACACAGTATGATATAGTAATGTAACTAACAGAGAGTTTGTTTGAAATACGTAATTTTTGTAATCATTCCATAAACCAGCAATAATGAGAAAAGCCAAAGGGAAAAACAATTACTGGTCAACTTCTCAAATCAATTTTTAGTTAGATTTTCATTTTCCATGTGGGATTGGTGTAAAACTGACAAAAAAAAAGTGGTAGAGCATTCATATAGCACGTGCAAAGTGCTGAGTTCTATCCTTAGCACCACATAAAAATAAATATTTAAAATAAAGGTATTGTGTTCAACTACAATGAGAGGGGGGAGGGAATTATATCTTATTCATTTTAATCCTCTTCTCCAAAGAAATTTGCTCATAGAAGATAGAAGGATTATTAATTCATTCAAACTATGGCCTCAAAGGGGAAATATGGAGAGAAAGAACACAAAAGGAAGAAGGGCAGAAGCTGTTTGAGTCACAGAAAGAACTTCAGCTTAATAGAAGTGTGAAGTAGTCCAGAATACAAGGCGAGGCTGGAAAGGTTAGCCACAAAAGGCTTGGAAACCACACTGAGGGCATAAACTGCATACTTTTGCAAAAATCTAGGCAAGTAATGAGCAATTGATCTAAGTGGAAGAGTGACAAAAAGAAAAAAAAGAGAAAAATAAAAGGACAAGAAACAGAAGGGAAATGACAGGATTTAATGATTGTATTTTTGGATAAAAAAAGTTTTGAGAAACCACTTGCAGGGATTTTGTTTAGATATTGGGAGAATAATGAGGCTAACAATAGAATTGGGAAGATTATGTTTCAGAGAAAAGTGATGTTCCATTTCTAAAAATATTTTTATTTGTGAATTGACCTTTATTTAATTAATTTATTTATACGTGGTGCTGAGAATCAAATCCAGTGCCTCACGCGTACCAGGCAAGTGCTCTACCACTGAGCCCAGCCCTGATGTTTCATCTTAATGAGCTTAATGTGAGGTACAGGAGGATATACAAATGGCAGTTGGAAGTACTGAACTCAGCTTGAGGAAGGGTGGGACCAGAAATATAGATTAATTAACCAAAGCAGGAAGAGAACTTGGAAGAGGAAAGAGAACTAAGAACACAACTTTGAGGTGTGGCTAAAATGAGGAACTTACAGAGGTAGAGGAGTAAGATACAATCTGGTTGTTGAAGCCAAGCAAAGGAAAATTTCAAGAAGAAGAGAATAATCAATAATAGTATACAGAGAGGGAGAGAGAGGTTTTGGAAATACAGACTGTAAACTGAAAAACATCACTGATATTGGTCATCACGAGTTCAAGGGTTAGGTTGCAGTAGGGCTTCTTGCAAATAAATACTAAGGGGAGTGAGACACATGTAATTGCCCAGTGGATAAAAGAAGAAATACAGTAGTTGGAAGAGGTATTAGGTTCTTTTTAAAAATATTTTTTAGTTGTAAATATCTTTGTTTATTAATTTATTTTATATGTGGAGTTTAGGATTGAACCAGTGCCTCACACATGCTAGGCAAGTGCTCTGCCACTGAGCTACAGTCCAAGCCCCACCTCCTCACCATTTCTTTGATGGTTATCACACTATATAAGGTAAATTCAGGCACTTGTGAAAAATAAAATATGGTACAGAATTTAAGTGGTTAATAGGATCCTTCAGAATACTTTTGCATGTACACAGTTTTGGCTCTGTTACTTTACTTATTTAAGGTGTTATATTTTGTAGTTGTTGTGTAACTTTTTTTTGGAATTGATTTATTGGATCCTTAATCATGGCAAACTCCAGCCGTCCAGATCGCCTTCGGGACATTGCTGATCGCTTCAATGTAGACCATGATGCAGTACTAGACAATGTGCTGTATGCGCGTGCATATACCAGTAAGAGCCCCTGCAATTGGATGTTTGGATTATTATAAGTTGGCAGGACTCAGAGGCCCTGGTTGAGTCATGCCCTGATTCCTGGCCCATAGAAATTGTGAGACAATAAATGTGTTTTGTTTTAATCTACTAAATTTGTGGTAAACTGTAATGTAATGACAGATCATTAATACAATCCTTATTTCTGGTCAAAAATGTCTGAGATTGGGGCTGGGGTTGTAACTCAGAGGTAGAGTGCTTGCCTAGCATGCGTGAGGCACTGGATTTGATCCTCAGCACCACAAATAAAAATAAAATAAAGATATTGTGTCAACTTACGTAAAAATTAACAAATAAAATAACTAAAACGTAAATATTTTTTAAAATCTGTGATTTAAAATTATCCACTAAAATAGAGTTTCTAGGGATAAATTTTATAGTTTAATACTTTTAAATACATATCATTCTTTTTTAAAAATTTAAAAAAGTTGACATCACTGATTTACAATTGAGTGACACAAAATTTGGACTGTTTTTCCTTGTTTTATTAACTTTTCTTCAAATTAATTTTCCCACAAATTTTATCATCTGCTAAGTCCTCAGGTACTAAAATGCCCTCAAATAATTTCTTATTCTTTGTCTTTGAAATACAGAGGGGTGTGTGTGTGTGTGTGTGTGTGTGTGTGTGTGTGTGTGTGTTGGTGTGTGTGTTGCTGGGTATTGAATCCAGGACCTCATGCAAATATGTGAGGTATGAGCTCTACCACTGAGCTCTGCCCCCAGCCCCCAGAGCAACATTCTTTTTGGATAAAGTAGCATTTGCCATGCATGCTAAGGCAGGATATGCAATCATGTTTAGTAAAGCCATAAATAATTAAGAGAATCCTTCAAGGACTCTTTGTTGCCTGGTTCCCAGGGACACAAATGATCTTAGCCTGTGCTGCTCCTACCTTTTCTAATGTTTTCTCACTGCATTTTCTATTAGGTGAACATCAGATGGAGCTACTTGATTATGTAGCAGCAAAGTTCCATGAAGAAGCTGGCATCTTCAAGCTACTGGTACAAGCTTTTAAATATTGCTCACTCACAGAGCTATTTACCATATTTTTCTATTAATTCCTATATTTTAATGGACTTATTCCTCCTATTTTTGAATGTATATTTATTTTACATTAATCCTGTGCAGATCATTGATTCAATAATGGCACTTTTTCGAGTGGATTTCAGTGGTCGTGGAGAGTTGGCTGAACGACAACAAAAATTGGCCCAGATGTTGTCTCGACTCCAAAAAATCTCAGAAGGTAAATCTTTTTTTTTAATATTTATTTTTTAGTTGTAGTTGGACACAATACCTTTATTTTATTTGTTTATTTTTATGTGGTGCTGAGGATCGAACTCAGGGCCTTGCATGTGCTAGGCAAGCACTCTATTGCTGAGCCACAACCCCAGCTCTAAGAAGGTAGATCTTTAAAATAAAATGGCACTATCCAAATTACTATATGTTTTGCAGAGAAGCTCAGAATAATGTCAGGAGGTAATATTTTTTACCATCATGGAAATACAACTCTTTAATAAATAAAAAAAGGAAAAAAAATTTTTTTAAAGAAATACAACTCATGGGCTGGGGATATAGCTCAGCTGGTAGAGTGCTTGCCTTGCATTCACTAGGCCCTGGGTTCAATTCCCCAGCACCACAAAAAAAAAAAAAAAAAAAAAAGAAAGAGAAAGAAATACAACTCTTAAAATTAAAATATTGATTCTGACTTTGATAATAATAACAAAAACTTTAAATAAAATAATTTCTGTTATCAATGAAAAATGGGAATATGATCTTGTTTATAAAATAAATTCATGTATAATATTCCTAAGCTCTGAAATCTAAATGATGAACTTTTTATCTTCTTATTATCCTTCTCTAAGTTTCTTAATTTAATATCTTTATGCAGAATATAATGTGGCTATTTTTGTGACCAATCAAATGACTGCTGATCCAGGAGCAACTATGACGTAAGCCCCAATATTCTGCTTTTGTACTTTACAGGTTAATATCAAGAGGTTTAGAGTGTAGAATAAAATAATTTCAAAATAATTACCCTTGATGTGAGTACAAATATATCACAAGTCACTTTATTGCAGAATGCATAGTATTTCATAATTGCAAATATTATGTATTATCTGGAATCTTGTTTTTCTCTAATTCTTTATAAACTAAAGCAAGTGTTTATTTAGCAGTACTGCAGTCTACACTTTGATCTACGACTAAAGGCAAAATGAAAGACAGTAAGAAAAAAAAAATCCTAAGGAAATAAAAGCTTTTATTCCAGATACACAAATGGTTTCTATTACCTTGATAAATTGTTAGCCTAAAAACTAAAAAGCAGGCTTCCTTCAGGATATTCATGAGATATCTTTTTAAAAGGCCCTAGAGAGAAGCCTCCTGCTTCGAGAAACAATTTCAGTCTATATGAGTGAATTTGTGGCCTGCTTCGAGAAACAATTTCAGTCTACATGAGTGAATTTGTTGAAGTATTTATGCACATAACAGAACTACTAATGGCTCTGTGTGGAAGATGGCAGGGAACAGAAGGATAAGGAAAAATCAAATAGGATAGTAAAAGCAGAAAATATAAAGAAAAGTTTATTGTCACTATCTAAAATTTTGAGCATTATGGATCTGAATAGACAGTCAAAATAACCCTAAATTTGTGATATTAAATGATTTTAAAGAACATTTTCTTTAGAAATTTTTTAACTGGAGGAAAGGTGCAAGATATATATATGTATGTGTGTGTGTGTGTGTGTGTGTGTGTGTGTGCGCGCGCACGCTCATATATATGTATACAATGTACCAGGTTCATCAATTAACATTTTATTTCATTTTTTCTCCTTTGTGTATGTGTATGTGTTGGTATGTATGTATCTATAAAATCTCTTTGTCCATACACACAAACATACTCATACATACACATGCACATACATATGTATTATTATTTTGATGTGTGAATGATTGTAAGGAGTTACTTTATTTCCTCTGATCACTGAGAATTATTTGCCGACACCATTAATCTTTACCTCTTAGAACTGCAGTCTATCTCTTCTAAGAACAAGAATATTCACTTATATAACTACAATATAATTATCATAATCAGGATATTTAAGATTGGCATAGTAGTGTTATCTAATATACAGTGTCTTGCTGGGTATGAGGATGCCTGTCTGTAATCCCAGCAACTTGGGAGGCTGAGGCAGGAGGATTGCAGATTCAAGGGCAGCCTCTGCAACTTAGCAAGACCCTGTCTCAAAATAAAAAGGTCTGGAGATGTAGCCCTGTGGTAAAGTGCCCCTTGGTTTAATCCCCAACAACAAAGATAATATATATTAAAGTTGTCTCCAGTTATTATAATAATGTTCTTTATAGTTGTTTGTATGTAAACCATTTTAAAGGAGTTTGTTTTGTTTTTTTACCTTCAGTTTAGGATCAGTTGAAGATCATGTATTGCACGTAGTTGTCATATCTCTTTAGTCTTCTTTAGTCAGAACAGCTTCTCAACCTTTGTTCAATTTTTATGGCACTGACGTTTTTTAAGAGCAATTTTGCAACATCCTCAATTTGGAGTTGATTTTTTTGTTGTTGTTATTTAAAATGCTAAGGCTGGGGATGTAACTTAGTGGTAGCATGCATCAAGCTCTTGGTTTGATCCCCAGCACCACAATAAATAAATACATAAATAAATAAGTGAAATGTTAAACATTTTGGGCAGAAAAACTCTATAAGTGATACACCTACCTTCTTAGTATATCATGTCAGGAGGCACATGATGGCAGTTTGTGACATTTTTAGGATGTTTGATCATGTGATTAAGATGGAATTCATGAGATTTCTTCAGTGTAAAAGATAAAAATTTCTTTTCATAAAAAGTAATTTATTGGGTGAGAATCTGAAGCTTTGTAAATATCTTCTTCTGCAATAGCTTTCACTATTTATTTTAGTATCTCATGCCTAAATCAGTTATTGTTTTAATGGTTGCAATACGAAGTGGTATTACTTTGAAACCAAGGCAACCTATTATATAGTAGCAGATGTATATGTTAGACGATATTTGATATGCTAATGTAAATTCTATAAATTGTACTGAAATGAATGTCTCTTTTTAGGCTTTTTCTAAAAAGTATTGTTGCATCTTCTGCAGTTTAATACATTTCTCATTTTCAATACCTTTTATGAGTATTTTCTACTTAATTACAAGAGATTTCAACATGATAATTATTAACTATCCAAATGTTATTAAGAAAGTTAAAAGAGATGAGGAAGGGAACTGAGGTTCTAGCTCAGTGGTACAGTGCATGCTTAGGGAGACCTTTGTTCAATCCTTAGCACCAAAAAAAAAAAAAAAAAAAAAGATTGAGGAGGATAAAATCAATCATTTTTTAATTCAACATATATTTATTGAAAATCTATGTAATTGAGATTCTGGGAAATAATTCACTAGTGAATCAAGAGGCAAAACCCCTTAGTCAGGCCTAGAGGTACACACTTTAATTCTGGTTACTTGGGAGATTGAGATAGGAGGATCGTAAGTTCAAGGACTGTGCAACTTTGCAAAAACCCTGCCTCAAAAAGAAAATTTAAAAATCTGGAAAGTAGCTCAGTGGTACATCTTGCTTGCCTAGCACATGTGAGCTCCTGGGTTCAATCCCCAGTACTGCAAAACAAAATAAAACAAAATTGTAAACATTTGCCTCCATAAAGAATAATAAAAAGAAGAAGAAGGATAAGTGTTGTCCATCTAATCCGACATTTTAAACTCTTGGTACATTGTACATTGTCAGTAGTATAATCCTTGAGTGCCTAAAGCAACCTTCATAAAGTACTTCACAAAAAGAATAATTTTAAACCTAAGAGAAATGGAAGATTTTTAAAGGCTTGCTTTAAAAAGAAAAAATGACTCATTTGCTCAGAGGGAGGAAGTGGGTTGCATTCAAATAAAACAGCACAAGTTAAAGAGCAATTTTCTGTCTTCAGGTGTGGGGAGGGAACATTGAAGAGGCCAAAACTGTCATTCTGGAGTTGGAAGGCAAAGGAAATTCGTAGAAATTAGGTCAGATAGGGTGCTTTTTCTTATATTTGTAGAAAGTTTCAAAAAGAGTAAAACCATTTTGAATTAACTCTTAAAGATGATGAAAGGAGAAATCAAGAAATGATAGAAAGTTAATAATTGAAGAATGAGTTGGAAAGAGGAGGAGATTTGTAGTGAAGAGAGCTAAGTAGCAGTCAAAGAAGGTAACAAAGGCTAGTATTTTTGCTGGATAGGTCTGCTGTGAAACATCTCCTCCACCTAGCTGAGTTGTAAGGAAACAAGGTTCACTATAATTAGTATGTTCTAAAGTATATTAAATTATAACAGTACAGATTAAATACATGTCTTCCTATAAAGCACAAAATTACTACATCTAAATGAAAAAAGCCAGGACAGTTTTAAACTAAAGAATTTCAAATGCTACTAAAAAACCTCCCATAAAGAAAATATCTTTGTTTCTCTGTGTTGAGGAACTCCAAGCTGCAGCTCGCCTGGAGCCTGTCAGAGAAATATCACTATAATTGGTATGAGTCCCTAAGTACACTGACAATAATTGAGGCTTATATCCCATGCATTATACTTGATTGCACATCGTATTAAAAAGGAACAAAATTATAGAGGCGTGGAGCTGCCATACCATAGAGCGAGCAGCAGCTCCTAGACAAGGCTCACAGATACAGACTTTAGAACTGAAATGATCCAACTGATGAAGGCCTGGGAAATAACAAGTCAGTTGCAGCCTGGTAAGCTGCACTTCGGGGCAAATAATGTCATGCACAACAAATAAGACCATGAAGTTGCCACCTACTTCTGTTATGTATGTTTTCCTAAAACAAAAAGTCACCTCAGAACATTTGCAGGCTTACAAATGCACAGTTTATTCCCCATGCATGTCACCTACTGATTCACATCCTTAGCATAAATCAAGAGGTGATATGTTTAGAGAGAAAAAAAAAATATTAAACCAGGGTCACTAGTAAAGTGACTCTTTATAAAGCATTTAAACTATTTGAACTTCTTCTCCCCCCAAAATGATTTTTTGCTAGGTACTTATCTTATATGTGACCACAGTGTATCTCAGCCTCCATGGGTCTCTCTTGTCTTTTCTGTGAACCCAATTTCAATATGTGGCTACATTCCTTCCACCCAACAAAAAACTAGAATTCCATCTTCAAATTTTTGGGAAAAAAATGTAAGTTTTTTTTGAGGGGGGGAGTTGTTTGTGTGTTTCACATATTTTAGGGAGCAAACAGAGAGAAGTGTTACTTAACAAACTTCTTAAACATAACACTCTTTTTAAAAATGCATCTCTTTATCCCCCAAATTCTTCTCTTTTGACAGTCCTATTTTTTCTCCATGTTCCCTTAATCTCAAAGCCTCCTCCTTCTTGGGCTAGTTCATTCAGCCCTCCTCTCCTCTATGGACCTGTTCTCAAAAATTCCATCTATAAACTTGACCCTTACAAGTCAAAAGCACCAGTGCCTGTTGTCCTCAGGCTTGCCCTAGCCTCTGTCTCTCAGGGTCCATACTCCAACCAAAATATGAGAAGGTATTATGAGTATTCCTCACTTATAAAAGTGGGAATGGAGGCTCAGAGTATTTAATACTTCTCAGTCACACAGTTTAAAAAAGAAAAATTAGGAAAGCCAGGATTTGCACCCAGGTGTCTGATGTTGATGTTCTTTCAGTCTCACCATGAAGCCTCCCATCTCACCCCATCTATAACTCTGTACCTCATGACCCCAGCGTCTTAATTTGAAGTTGGTAAACCAGAATGTTCTGGGTCAACACAGAACTACCCTCAATGATATAATATTCTGTATTCTGTTCAACCAGAGTGGGAGAAATGAATAATCTCTCTCAGTCCCTCTTTATCTCTAATATCCACCCGTCTCTTCCTCCTCCTCATTGTACTTGCTGTTTTCTGAG